AGTGAAATACTTGAACTAGGAAGGTACAAGGCGGATCCCACGGGTCAAAAGGGAGACTGATAGGACCTATGGAAGGAGGATTGTTGGGTGAGGGGACGAGAAAGCCAGTGTGAGGAGTGGAAAATTCTCTGGCGATCCTCTAAAAATGGCACACGATACCACATTAAAATAAGCAATTAATAAATTGTGATAGTGAAGGGGTAATACGAGTATATAGGATTGGTGAATAGATCAGAGCAGGAGAGATACCACAATTGGTTGAAGGATAAGTTTAACTTATCTCTTTGACGAGTTGTAGTGTAGTGCTAAGACTGGCAAAGCTTAATGGAGATGTCGACCACGATGTCTGGGAATGTACCACGTCCACGGGCAGTCTCTGGAAATTATGATGCATACTATGGACTTTGGACTAGGTGCATTCATCTAGGTCTTCCTACCAATATGACCAGGTTGCCAAAACAAGATCAAAGTAGGGCCTGTTCAGATGATGAATACGTGTGTAATAAAATCAGGAACACCGATGTTCATAAAATAAATGTCTATAGTAGTGGGTTGACCTCGTTGTCGCAACTTAGTCTTGTGTTCAGGGAGACTATGTAGAACGCACCGAGTCCGAAGTCGTCTGTACCGAGAGGTCAACCCACTTATATTAGTCGAAAGGAGACTGCGACCGTACCCGAGGCCATAACATCTTGGTCTTCACATCTTCAAAAGTCTATAGTGTCTAAATTAAAACTAAATAAACGATCATTAATCCTAAAAGGATTAAACGTAGAGATGAGGACCGAGGTCGTGGCCTCTATTTTGGCCGCAGTCTCCTTTAGATGTAGATAAGTAGTCTGACCTCGAATTGAATTTTTCATTGAATGTCGCATAGCCTTGTTTCCCGAAAAATATTCTTATCCAAGGTGGGCTGTAGTTTTGATCTCGCCTCGTTACGAATATTACTTTTCTACAATTTTCATGTTCCTTTCTACCATATAACGGTTGACTAGGTAAATTAACAGAAAATGCGATGAAATCGACA